AGCCAATCAGAGCCCGGCTGCGCGGCCTCCTTCGGCTCCCCGACCGTCACCGGCGCCAGGAGCCAATCGCCTCCCGGGCCAGGGGGCTCGGTTTGGTAAAACTAGACGCAGGTCAACACCCCTTCCGAAGCAAAAGGGAGAAGTAAATAAATAAGATGAGGAGGAGAAAGAAAGGGGAGCCAACAGAAGCGGGTGGTACTGACGGAGAGTGCTGGTGACTGGTGTGGCTCAGTGTGCCGTGCCGAGAGGCTCAGCCTCCCTAGGAAGTCGCGAGGCTGCGAGGACTGCTCTTAGGGTTTCCGGATTTCAAGCAGCGACCTCACGGCAGCAGCGCTACTCCGAAGTTTTGTTCTCCGGGGCTTCGCGTAGACAGCCGTTTTTGCGAAGACCGAAGTGAGCGCTGTCTGCTTTTCAGTCCCCTGCTGCCTCCCTCAAAGACAAAGCAGATGACTTTGTGACCCTATACTGTGCTCAAGACACCACATCTTTCCAGGTGAGCCAGCTGCCTGGTGGCCTTCACCCTCCCAGGAGGCGGAAGGTTGGTCGGAAATACTGCTCAGAAAGGTGTTAGCCTTGGGAGGACAGCTTTAATTTTATTTTTCTAAATAGTTTTTAAACCCCTACTCAAGTCCCACCCCAGCCGACAGCACATCTGTGTGCACACACATATATGCACTGACATGTTTGTGGTATAGAAAGCCCAAACATTAAAAACACATGTGCACTTATCAACATGGCTGTGTAAATATGAAGTTCGTCGCTCAGGCACACATGCCACGTTCAGACCCAGTCAATGAAACTTAGGTCAAAACCAAAGGTCCTGGCAAGGCAGAAGCCAAAGGGACAGTACAGGCAAAGCCAGCTCCGCTGCCTGTCCCATCTATGCCCCAGTGCAGAAGACCCACAGCCTCTCTCAATCTCCCTGCTGAGCTTTTTTTGTGCTGTGTGTTTCAAACATCACCAGGGGAAGGAATTTCCAGCTTCTCTGAGCTGGGGTCAGGGCCACAACTGACCCCAGGCCAGCAGACATGTTGCAAGGAACTCGTGCAGCATTGAGGCTCCATTGCTTGTACCCCTGAGTGTGAGTGGAGGGAAGCCAAAGATGCTAAAAACCGTGTCTGAGCACTGTGGAACCACCCCTGGTGACAGACAGGCTCTTAGCTCTGGAGGTGCCACACTCCAGGCTGGCTTGTTTGTAGAGCTCCGAGGAAGCTGGCTTTGGGCTCTACAAACCTAATTTCTTGGTGGAGAGGTTCCAAGTAGAACTACTACAGCTTGTGAAGAAGCAGTGCTATTTCCTAAAGCCGTTGTGCCCACACGGAGGGTGTGAGTCTACCTCAAGGGCAGGGAGTGTCTCTCCAGAGATGCACTTGGCTAATGTTCTGTCTGTCCTTTCTAGACCCATGAAAACTTCCCCAAAGCCAGAGGGGCGGGATGGTGGCAAAGAGACAGAGGCTACAGAGCAACATTTTGGGTGGCCGAGGGTTAACCCTAAAACAATAGGTACTGCTCAGCCTGAGGAGCTGGGGAAGGCATGCCTCCTAGAGAATAGGCCACAGGAGACCAGGCAACTGCATCTTCATTTGAGGGGCATTTAGAGAAAAAGTGCTATTTGGTAGGGGCCCTTTTTGCTCTTCAGGCCAGACCCTCAGGCCCCGGAGTGTGTGCTCACTCGCTCACTGGAAGGATTGGTGCTTGCAGATAGCATTCTCTCACCTCTGGATCCCATGTAGCTGGCCTCTTACTTGTGTTTGCACAACTTTCTCTCATGGGAGGAGGACTTGGTAAGGCTGCTGTCAAAAATTATGGAAAACTGTTCATGTGACTATATCTCCACCAGCCTGCAAAGTCCCCAGTTAGGAGTCAGCCTCACAAATTCATTCACAGGAAGACCCAGCCTGTGTCTGGTCATCTCACACTGACATTGACCATCCCCCAGTGCCCAGCAGCCTCACCTTACCTCCAGTGGTCTTCCTGCTCTGGAGCCGAGCCTCCCAGCTTATGGCAGAGACACAAGGAAAACCAAGCGTCCATGTCAGTAGACACTGCCTGACCCCTGAGTCTGCTAACGATTGCCTCCTTCCAATGCCCTGCTGGAAAGAAAGAACCCTAGGTCTCTGTCCCACTGACAGAGTTCCCTTGTATCGGAACTGGTACAGAAGCCCATGCCTCCCTCCTTAGCCAGTGATTTAAATGAATCAAGGCAAAGACAGTTTTAAATGTGTTTCTCCTTTCAAAAAAAAAGTTCTGATTTTCCCACATTGCTAGATGCTCATTCTGAAAAGTAGAAGTGAATGCCCTGTTGCTTCACAACACCAGCCTCAGGAGGAGCTCTGCAGTCACCCCCAGGCACAAAACTGGCAGCAAGCAGAGTTGCCCAGGGGCCTGGTGGTCCCTTCTCACACAGAGAGCTCAAGATTCTGATGTAAGGAGCCTTCTGCTCTGCTCACTATTAGTGATTTTTAGGGTTCTGTCTGGAGGCGCCCTCAGCATCTGCCCCATCAACTGTCAGGGCAGCAACAGGACCAAGGGACCCCTGCCTGTGGTTCTGGGGCAGCCAGTCAGGCCAAGGCCGAAAAAGTGTTCTGTCTGAGTCAGAACAGTAGCCATGGCCTCAGGTCTGCTCCCACAGGCAGGGGGTGCCCAGGAAGTGGATCCCGCACACCCTGCCAGACTTAGCATTCTCACCTATAAGACCGAACTCCCAATGCCTGTTCTGCCACCCTGCTGAAAGGAAGAATGTGAAGTCTCAGTGTAGCTAGGCCCTCAGTCAAGGCCCAAAAGCTTAAAGCTGTGTGGCATGCAAGATGTCACCAAGTCTAGCAGTATTCTTACTTGGGCAAACTCTTTCCCTTCCACCTCTCAGGTGAGAAGTGTCCACCCTAACTCTTTCAAGGACTGACTGGACACCCTACCGGGCTCTGAGACGTCTGGGAGGGTGGGAAGCGTGCCCAGCCTCACCGCTTCCCGCCATCTGCATCCCCTCTGCATCGTTCTTGATGGGCACTCACTGGGCATCCAGCTGCCACTGCTGCACCCTCCCCCTCGTTAGGACCCCGCCACCCAGGGGAGGTGATGCAGTAGACAATGTCCTGTAGAGGAAGCTGCAGGTCCCCCCTGACCACAAGCAGCGGCAAGTAACTGCATCATCAGAGCCCCTGCCTGGCAGCTGCAGTCCCAGCCCTGCCTCCCTGCTCGGAAGGACACATGGGCCCACCCTCCAGGGGACACTTTGTCAAACTGGGCTAGACAATTTTTATTCATTTGTGTGTAGAGTAAATTATTTATAAATATACAAATTGTAGGTTTGCATACTATCTTCCAGAAAGAGAACAACTAAAAATGAAGTTTCTACGTGACATTTTTAAATAGAAACAAAAATACTGAATTGTCTATTTCTCTAATCCAAAACCTCAATCATGATTCCCACACTCCAGGGGGAAACATCTACCACTTGCCCTCCAGAGTCTCCCTGGCATCTCCCCAGCCCCACTAATCACCCAGGCTCTTATCACCCAGCTGCCTGCTTCTGCTTGCCTCCCTTCTTTGGCAGGCATTGTGTGCAAATGGTCTTTCCTCTGTCTGCAATGCCCTCCATGACCTTTATAGCAATTCCTACTCGTTGGGTTCCCAGACTGAACAAATCAAAATAGAGAATGCCCAGTAAAATTTGAATTTCAGATGAGCAATGAATAATTTTTAGTTTAGGTATATCCCGTACAATATTTGGAAGCTACTTATTCTGCCAAATAGCTCTTGTTTACCTGGAATTCAAATTTTCCTAAGCATCTTTTGTTTCATAGGCAAACCCACCCCTTCCTCCCTAAGTAGCGTTGCCTCAGCCTAGTCCTGACTGACTTTCTGTCTGTTCATCACCCTCCCATCTCTAACAGATTGACAGCCCTCTGCTCCCTGCACCCAGAGCACCTGAGCACACATCCTTACAGACAGGAAATGCATAACTGCTGGCTTCCGGGTGTGTGTTACTTGGTTCTCAGCTCTTGGAGGGCCAAGATCTTGGCTTGGGTCTGGCCCATCCCTGTTTCCCCAGTATCCTGTACAGAGCTGGATCTATACTGAAGACGCAGAAGGTCCTCCAAGCTGGTAATGAGTAAGCATGTCACAGAGGGAGGCAAATGTGTGAAACACCCAGGGGTATTTCACTATTTTGGTATTGCACTATTTGCACGAGTCTGCACTGAGTCTCCCTAGAATGACCAGGACAAGTAAGGGTGAAGAGCTCCACAGTTCTGTCTTCAGGAGAGGAGACTCTGGATCCTCAGGGAATAGGTCATCAGTGCTTATTCAAAGCCCATAGAATTTAGGGTCTTGCATTGACTCTTTTCCCAGCCCATAGCCAATCCTATGTCTGAGGCTATGTCCAAAGCACTACTCTCTCCCCAGGGCCTGCCTGCAGGAGTCTGCTCGGCAGAGGATGGAGGTGGGTGGATTCGTTAGTGCAGCCCCAGTTCAGGGAAGAAAGAGAGCTTCCCGTAAACCCTGCCTGGGACCCTCTTCCCACAGCCCCCAGCAGAAGGCTGTGTAAACACAGGGATCAAACCGTCAAGGCTGGGGTTTCCAGAAGCTGC